GGAGTCCCCCCCTTTATGGGGGGCCTGCTGCTGCTGCTGCAGTTGTTGCTGCAGTTGTTGCTGCTGCTGCTGTTGCTGCTGTAGTTGCTGCTGCTGCTGCTGCAAGGAGAACTGGGAAGTGACCGATGGCGCCCGACGGTAGGTGCCCGTGGCCGAAACCATAGAGACAGAAGAGTTGGAGGGATTGTGCCGCGAAATCTGCCGTGAGATGGTTCCAAACTGGGACATTGGAGCGGGGCCCAGACCCGGCCCAGGGGCCACAGCTAGAAACACCCAAAGGCAGAGTAAGGACGAAAGAAGGAGCGGTGAGGGGAGAGGAGCCACAGAGAGGGCGGGGGACAATGACAGAGAGAGAGAGAGAGAGAGCGCAAATGGGAAAAGAGAGGAAGTTAGAGAAACATTAGCAAGAGCTGGAAGATGATGGGAGCTTTGAATTTCTGATCAGAGACCCAAACGTTCTTTCAATACACAATCAACAACCAATCAGACGGAGCCTGTGCACAGAGGGAGCAAGAGAGATTGATTATTAGTAATATTTTAAATTTCATGAAGGTAAAAATGAAAGGTTTCCCAGGGTTTGTGAAGCTGATGCATGAAGCAGCAAAAGAACAAAGTGGTATGACCCAGTGATGGACCCCATATTTTACTTGGCCTATATGTGATGTCCAGTTGGCCACATCTCGTATTTGACAGAGAGAGAGTCAATTATGGGTGTGGTTTGTTGCCCACATACCGAAGACCACATATGGGCCAATTAAACGGTGGTGTCCACAAAACAGAAAAGCAGAGCAGCAACACAACCAACTAATTCCACATAGTAATGATGCTTTGGCTCAAAGACCAGCCACACAGACGTTTAAAACATGTTAAACATCTGATATCGGGTGACCCACATCTGATGACCAGATTGTGGGTCCATTCTCCTTCATGGCCAGAAGATGGTGCGGCCCACATTCTGGACACCAGATGTGGCACATGAAAGACCCTTATTTTTATAGCTAGAAATTATTTTCCAACTTTGAAATGTCACAAAGATTTGAAGGTGAAGATAAAGTCAATCTTTGCGAGTATGTGTGAAAAATCTGTGGGAAGGAAGAGGTTAAAGAGCAGCCTGTTGAAGTATTTCCTGTTCATATTTCTAGATAACACTGTGTCTCAGGAGAGGCACCGTCCTCAGACAGGGACGGGGCGTGACAAGACAGACACAGGAGCTCCCAAAACACGACATATTCTCACAGGCAGTACAGTACAGTACATCTACTGTGGGTGAAACAGCTGCCGCGTTCGACCTGATCAACCTGTGAAAGAATTAAAATTTAATTGTCCTTAATCAAACACAACCATCACCGTTAATTAATATGACGAGGAAATTAAAGCTGCATTAGGTCAAACATTTGTTAACACACCTGAGCTTTCAGGACTCCACAGCATCACACTGTCACATTAATGTGTCAGCTTTTAAATTATTAAATGATCTGCATGAAAAATTAATTAAAACCTATTTCATAAATGATGATGATGATTTAGAATGAATTGACAAGGAATATTTTCAGCCGACGCAGCTTTAACTTCTAGTCAGGGAGCAGAAAAAAAAGGGAAATTATTAATACTGTACCTGTGCTAAAGAAGTCTCAAAGCCACAAAAAAAAAAAAAAAAATCAGGATGAAATATTTAAAAAGAATGACAGCTGCAGCATCACTTTAGTTTTTATGTTTTTTAGGGGATTTAAAAGCAGCTTTCTGGGAATAGATTTCAAAGATGTTGGAAAAATTCTGATAATCGAATTAAAACATTTGAAAAACGTATTTAACGGAAACAGCACTCACAAACAAACAAAACAATAGACACCACTGACTGTTAAGGTCAGAAGTTCCACAGTGACAACGAGGGCACATTTAAAAAAAGCCTAGAGGAAGTAAGAAGGCTGTGGTCCAAAGTTTCACACTGTTGTTTGTGTCACATCTCCTTTTTTCTTTATTTTTATTAGCCAATAACAAAATGCTGATGATGCAGGAGTTAAGAGACTTCTGTGTCAAAAATATAGATACAGATTTGAAATGTAGATCTGAACCACCACCACCACCACCACCACCAAGGTTAGAGCGACACAGTCGATCACCGTCCTGTGTCCCTCCAGTCAGAAGAGTGTACGGTGTTTGTTTACACCACAGAACCTCAACCAGAGAGGACACGAAAGGACGGGTAGCCTCCAAGTTTTGGACTTTGGAGGAGTCTCACCTATGGGTGGTGGGGGTGGAGGTGGAGTTGGCGGAGGACCTCCTGGGGGACCAAAGCCGGGCATGGGAGGAGCGGGTGGAGGTAAAGGAGGGGGTGGAGGGGGGACTCCCGGGGGAGCCAACATGGGTGGAGCTGGAGGGCAGTGTGTGTTTGGATTAGTTTAATAAAGAAGAACAACGTCAGACGGTTCTGACACACTTACATAACATCACTTCGCTTCAGAAGCCTTCAGGGCTGCTCGAGCGTTTTCACTCACTCACACACACACACACACAGCACTCCTCACTGGTATGAAACATGTTTCCATGGCAACCAGATTCTAAGGGAAATATGTGGTTAGTCATGCCTTACTGGCCCTTTGCCAGAACTGTCCCTCCAAATGAAACCAACAAACAAACAAAAACAAAAACCCTCTGGTTTGTGTTTCCACCGTTCATTTCCCTGGTGTGTATATAGTGTAATGCAGTATTATGGGATGCTCATGGGTGATGCTACAGAATGTGGGTGTGACCGTTTCACCGTAGAGCAGCAGGCGTTACCACAGCGTGGCCTATTTACACAGTTGGGTAGAGAAGCTGCTGTGTTTAAAACACAATGGGCCTCCGGTCTAATCCCTGTCTGGTAAACATAAGCCTAATGTAGCCCAGCTCCAGGGTCTGAAAATAGATGGTTTTATTGACACGTCTCTAACCAGGAGTTCTCAAACTGAGGTGAACACTGTCCTTTTAATGGAGGGCCACATCACTGTGTGTATGTTCAATACAAAAAAAACCCCAAAAACTTTGAAATGATGTTTTTAAATATTTTAAACTAATTTTAAATACTAAAATTCAAATCTATTTTTAAATAACTTCTGTGTCCTGCGTTGGCCCTGTGAAAAAAATGACAGAACACCATAGGGGAGTGTATTTTTTTTTCCTTTTAAACTCAGACCTGTTGTGTGTTTCAGTACAAAAGCTAAACACGTCGACGTGACTCAATTATGTGCAGTGAGCCGACAGCTCAGCCCTGTGTTGACACAGCTGCCAGTTGTCAGTTGAGTTAATTCTCAGGTCAAATAGAAAAAAAAAAAATTAGTTTTCTGTCCCCGAAATTGAACAGTTATACTTTGTTTTGAAAACACACACTTCATTTTCTAATGTGTTTCAGCAGCCGTGAAAGACAGTTGACTGAGTACAGTCGTCCTAGTAGTTTTATTAAAACCCTGTGTGGCTGCAGTTGGCTGTGCAGTTATCAGTGCTCACCTGGTCCAGATGGAGGAATGGAGGGAGTAGGCACCGCGATAGGAATGCCAATTCCACTGCTGCCGCTGTTCTCCCTGCTGCTGCTCCCCCCGCTGCTGCCGCTGTAGACAGAGAAAAAAGAAGACGACGACTTTGGTTTATTTAGGGCAAACTGCTTCGACTGCAGACAGGTAGAGACACAGAGCATGCATCAAGGCTCAGCCGATAACGATGCATTTACTGCTCTATTTACCCCGGTGAAACCACAGGAGCCACCATTTTCTTTGACTTCTAACGACCGATGGTTCAGCTCAGTCGATAGTAAGCTGAGATGTCAGGCACCGTGGTAAAGATTTGGGTCAGAATAAATTAGAAATAGAATGAACAGGAAGTCATTTGGTCGATTTTGATAAATAATGATGTTTAAACAGAAAATAGTTTCAGAAAATTCAGTTTTCCAGCTGTCATTTTCACTGTATAAATCTTTTGGTTTGGTCAGTTTTTTTTTATAATGATAACAATCTTAATTCTGTTAGTATGGAGAAGTTGAAGGAGGAAACAAACAAATGTCTTGTTTGTAGGAGACTTGTCACCCTGACCCTGGGGCATTTAGAGCATTAGCTGTGCCAAACCACCCCTGCCCTTCCTCCCTCCCCCCTTCTCCGGCTGTCCTTGATCCTCTCGTGTTCCCCGGACCCTTTGCGCTCCACCCCGGTCTTTTTTCTACTCCTTTCATCCCTGGTTTTCCACTGATCCTCCTCCTTACTCCTCACCCCTGACTGCACCTTCACCTCCTCTTCTGTAAAGTGAATCCCACTTCTCCTGCCAAACACCAACACTCCCATCTCCTCCATTTCCACTCATATCGTCTATCTTTTCACCCCCTCCCCCTTTTTTCCCCCCATCATCCCTTTCTTCTCTCAGATCCATGTCAGTCCAAGCCCTGAGGCGGTGCAGACATAAATACTGCAGGATGTTGGTAATGGTGGGGGTACAGAGTCTGTGGGTGTAAAAGCTAAACACCAGAGTTCTAACGTCTACATCCACCCTCTCCGCCTGCTCTCAGTTCATCTAGTCTAATCCTCTTATAACTTTGCTTTGTTGGAAATGTTCACTGAATAAAAAATTAGCACCAGCTCTCCCGGCCCTGCTCTGCTTACATCATTCAGCCCCCTACTCAGAGAGGGGAGGTGGTGAGGAGTTTATAAATCAAGCCGGTCTGTCACACACAGGTAGGCTCAGAGACAGAAACAGTCCCAGCTCACATGTTCACGGCTGAGCCACAAAGTAAACTCTCAGTCAAATGGAAACAAAGTGCACTTCAACGTCGGTGCTGCAGAAATATTTTGACTCCACAAAAGTAGGAAGAATAAACTTCCCTCACAGCTTAGAGAGCCATCCAAGATGTAAAGGATTGGAATCTTCTTTCACTTAAAGACGAAGTCACAGCTCAGGTCATAAAAACAACAGAGGACGAAGGTGAGACCTGCTGTAGTCTAACAAAATAATTTAATGTAATGAGACGAGTCCTCAGACCGAAAAAAAAAAGAAATTAAAAACTATTTATGTATTATTATATCCATGTTTTAAAGTAATACTAAACAACATCCCTAAAAATAAGAGTAATTACAATTCTGGAGGAAACTGGTCACTCCAGACTGGTGTCTGAACGTTTGAGGCGTTCTTCCAAACCCAGGAATTCTATTTTGGTCCATTTCTGGATCTTTATTTCAGCAGCCAAATAGCTATGTACCTTTTATATACAAACACTCGGAGTATCCAAAGTAAACCCACAGAGACATAAAAAAAAACAAAAAACTACGCTTTATGTCAAAAATACAGTGTATATTTTTGGTGCGGATGATGGAGAACGAGAAACAAACCTCAAACAAACCTTTATAGAACAGATTTTATTACCAGGCCTCTGCAGCGAGCAGCAAAAAATAAATAAAACGAATGATACCTGCGTGTGACAGACGATAACAGTGGGGACACAGAGATGCCATCAGCTTATTGAATTTAGGGCTCTGTTGAGTTTGGCAGTGAGGGATGAGCTGAATAAGCAGGGCCAAGTGTATAATCAAATAGTGATGCCACAGCAGTATCAGCAGGGGCAGCAGGTCTGTCTCTGACTCTGCTGCACGGTCTTTAAACCACTGATGAGAAGCAGCGATGCCACAAACTTGTCTGATTGTTCTGTCGCTGCTCCACAAAATCACTGACCACAGAGAAACAACACCAATCTGGGTTTTCATTTCAGAAGCGAGTACCGAGAGCTGACGGAACAGCTTTATATAAACAAAAAGACGCAGTCATATTTATGAGCATTAGAGTCGGTGTAAGAAGCTCTTTAGCTAATGAGGCAACTTCACTCAGTCGTAAGTCGCGTCTGTTGGAAGCAGTCACAGATTTTTTCTATGGTGGGGATTTTGAGGAAACGAGCCATGAGTGAGATGTCTGAGGGCTGGAGCGTTGCAGGTGTTGTGAGTGACGTCTGAGGGCTGGAGCGTTGCAGGTGTTTGATGTCATTTTTAGTGCAGCCCTGGAGTGAAAACAGTGTGAACGTGCGCTAAGCTGCCAAACTCAGAGAAGAGATTAGAACTTACCGAGGTGATGGCAAAAAAAAAAAGAATTTCACTCATATTCTAGCTGATACGGGAAGGAAAAGTAGGTGTGGAGTTTATCTTTGTGTAGATTTCACAGCTTGGCAGAATTATTATCTCCAGTGTGACCGTGTCAGCAGAGGGCAACGGTGTTGACTGACTTTAATTAAGGCAAACACTGACTGCATATCAAGTGCATGAAACCAAGACCATTTTCTCTGGGTTCTCAGATCCCTAAACTTGAAATTCTATTCTAAAAATATTGTAAAAAACTAGTTTTACTCAATGAAATGCTTCTACTTTTGAACCATGTTCACCATTATTGTCTTTCAGTTCAGACGTTCCACCTTGTAGCCAGCAAACGTAGTTCTGATTGGCTCTCACCCTGGAATCTGTCGCTGACAGATTATTTTTCCGCCTCATTGTTATCAGCCGACTGACGCATAAATAAATTATGCCATCATCATTTTCTCATTAAAAAGGAAGGTCATTGATATATGAGTATAGAGCAACAAATTCAACAACCCAGTATGTGATACACATCAATACAGGCAGTAAAGACTTTAGCAGTTGCTCATAATTTAGCTAACACAGGGGGAAAAGAAAAGTCCTGGTTCTGCTTTGATCGCTCTTTGTTTTTACAGAGGTACAGCACGATCACAGGAACGTTCCCTTCTCTGTGGTTTTAATTATTAGACTAATGCAGTCCTCAGTTGGATGACACAGCAGTTCTGTGATCACTGATGTTACTTTTTTTTTTATATATATATATATTTTACCTGCTCACCCCGAGCATCTTCGCCCTCTGTGGCAACACTGCAGTGATCTCATTAAAATTAATGAGGTGCCGGAGTCTCTTCAACTTCAAGCTGAGCATAGTTTAGCAGCCGATTTACAGACACCATAAAGTCCTACCTACTGTAGCTCTAGTGCAAAATGTGTGAATGCCTCTTCTAACTGCATTTACCTGTGTGTGCGTTGCCTTTGGTTGAGCGACGCTGTACGTCCGGGGCTGTTGTGCTGCCCGTGATGGCTGCCTAATCGGGCGGGGCTGGTCATGTAGTCATTGGGCACTGTGGGCGGCTTCACCGGCTCCAGGGTCTTATAGGAAGTGTTGCGTCTGCAGCGGGTACAAGAATAGGACATTTTAAAGTCAATCACCCACTGTTTTTACCCCATATTTATTCCGTTAACCGTCGAGTGCCTTCTCCATTAAGTGTCCGTGTCATGCTGATGTAATGTGGATTCTTACCCAAGGGTACCACGCCCTGACATCGGAGGGCTGGGTGGCTTCTGTGTTGGTGGATTGGTCCTCGATAATGTTCCTCCTCTGATTGACTGATTGTTTCCATGTTGCTGTGGTTGAGGAGAGTTAAGAGGAAATCCTTAGTCGAAACAGACAAATGGCTTCATACACTCATCAGCACAACAACTATTAACAGAACATAATGGGAATCTGATCTTATAGGCTGCCCAGATGAAGAAACTTCTACAGCTGACGGTGCGTTTCAGAGTTATGCAACGTCACCGCGGCTCGTGGTTGGTTCAGTTACACACGGTGTTGTCGTTTGTCTGGAATTTCTTGCAAAACACCTGTTGTTGCTTTTTTTTTATAAGCTGCACCATGACAAAAAAATATCAAAATTGTAAAGGTATTCATTTTTCTTCCTGCTTTATGTTTTTCACAGGTATTCTGAGCATTTTTCTTCCTGCTTTATGTTTTTCATGACCAAAAACAACAATGTTGTGTATTCAAATTAATAGATTTCTCTTTTGTGGTTTCAGGAATTCAAACAATCTCAATATTGTGAATCTACACACATGCTGTATAGTCGAATGTCTGGGAAGCCTACAGAGACTAAAAATAAACTAGTGAACAGTTAGGGAGGAACACATGACACATGACATGTACAGTAGAGTTAAACTGACAACAACAGAGTGTGTGTTCTAGGCTGGAAACAGGGACTACAAGTCAGTTAATGGGAAATAACATGGAAAGTGGCAACAGTGATCAGATGTACGAGGGTTTTCTGGATTCTATCCATAATACATTGCAGCATAATGGGTCATGTGATAAACCGGACTTACCTTGGCTTTTAACCACTTATGTGAGCACAAAGAAGGCAGGAGAAAAAGGAGACAGAGAGAAGAGGGCATGTCAAAACTGGGCTTTGTCTGAATGGATCAGCAGAGGTCAAGGTACAAAGATTTCTCGTTGTATTTACACCGAGTAAACACCAGGGACGGGGCAGGTCAGCAGCTGCAAGTCGCACATGCAGGAGAAATACCATGGTCTCTGACTGCTGCTGCAACCACACCCAGATACACAGTGAGACTGTGCTGATCTGAGGGCAACTGTGCATAACAAACCCCCCCGCCCTCCCAAAAAAACAGGTTTCATCTAAACAAGAAGCCTAAAACCAACTGCCACTAGGATATTAAGGTGGTTTCACTCATGAAATAAACACTGTTTGTTTTAGAGAACCCGTTTGTGTATTTTAATTTGGACACAGAGCCATGTTTTTTTTAAATTATCTTAGTAGCGGTACGATTGGATCTCAAAGAGAATCCAAAGCCAGCGTAGTGGGGGTGGGACAGGGGGGGTTATCTACAGCTTGACAACTGCAGAGTCAAGTGGCTCATCAATAATGCAGCATCCCCCAATGGCTTTTTGCACAAAAAGCATTGTAGCATCGCCAGAGTAGGAGAACAACAGAGAAAAATTAAAACCAAAACGAAGACGAAGACATTCAGCACAAAATTCCCCGTCCCCCCGTCCCCGAAAAAAAACCCTTTGCTATAACTCTAGATGAAACACTTCATGGTCAGATGTCAGGTTTAGCAATGACAGATAAGATTGACGTCCATATCTAGGTCACACTGAAAACACCGAGGCCCTAATGCGGCCCTGCTTTATCTTCCTGGCAAACGTCGTATCTCTGCCGTCTCTCCTGTTGTGCTCCGGAGATCAGACCGTCAGCGTGGAGATAATTTAGTAACATCCACTTTGAATTATAGACAGACGAGTCAGTAATGAGTCCAAAAAGGCTGAGCAGGCGGAGACGGGACGGTGAGGAAATCCACAGCACTGCAGTCTAATGGAGTCATTAAATAACGCTAACAGTGACTAGCTGTTCTATCAGGTGACACGCTGTAGACTGGGCGGAGTGAAGGTTCACATTTTAAATACCACTGCAAGCACAACTTTGCAATCTTTTTTTTTTCCCCATCCTGGCTTCAAAGTCAATTCTGACACTGACACTTTAATGAAAATTCAAGCAGTGCAACAATCTGACATCATCGTCCCTGGACTCCTGAAAGTCCTGGCAACTAGATGAATCATCAGATGGCAGACAGAATAAATCACATCTTTCACTTTGATGCTAAGAAAAAAAAAAAGATTACATAACCATCAGGATGCCCCGATTCACTGGCATAAACCTTTGGAGAACATTCATATTATCTACTGAATCCATTTTTAATTCCTTATTTCACCTCCTTTCTCTCTGATCTGAGAACAGCCCGTGTTTAATAATGTATGTGGGAGCTACATGCTGCTTCGCTCCAGTTTGGTGTTTAACTAAACAAACAATGGTGTGAAACCCACTCAGCCTGCAGGCTAACAGTGGGCTTTTCCACTGGACAAGATTTAAACTCCCATTAAAGTATTGATTCAGTCGGTCGGTAAGTAAATCGTGCCGATACATGTTCCATACAAGCCGGGGGGGAGGGGAGAATCCACTATGGCTGTGGAAGGACTGCGTATGAATGAATATGGTGCATTGATGCCAAGTATTGATTGGCTCTTTGGGTTGTGACACGCATTGGTGATGAGTTTAGATTAACGATGAGCAGCAGAGGCCGTGACTGTTGCTGTTGTTTGTCACATCCACTAATGTAAATGTAGCACATCTTCACACAGGAAGTAATCCACTGAGATTTGTGCCATAATTCATATTGAGCGGTGAGATAATGTTTCACACTCATTAATAATTTGTACCGTCACCCTGTGTTAGACGGATAGACTCGAACACAAGACTGGGCAAATGAACCTAATAAAAAGGTTGTGCAAGAAATGTGAAATGTATGAAGAAGAAATAAGAGCAAAATAAAATGAATCGTTAATATTTTTTTAAAAACGATAAAGTACTGTCTATACAGTACAGTACTACTGTCAATACAGTATCGATAAAATATTGTACAATGTCAATACAGTATCGATAAAATATTGTGATATTTCAGTGTATCAATAGTTTCTCACACCCCTAATATTTATCTGCAGTGCCTTGACATTTCTCACAGACGAATGACATTTGAAGTGTTCCCATAGGCAAAGACCTCATAATATTCCTGCTTGGTTATGTCAATATTATAACTCCGACTCAAAAGTACTACATTAGAATATTTCTGTGTGAAACCACCGGAGGGAAACTAGAAAAAAAAATTCAAATTGCATTTTCAAAATGAAAGTCAATACTTTACATTAGTCACAGCATTTCCCCCTAATGGAGCAGGCTAACATGCTAACATTTGATTACACAGTGGACCAATGGTTTTTATCCTGCCTTATCAATGGCTGTAACACTTCTAGACAGTAATAGCAGGCCTCTAATCCAATCTGTTTGACAGCTGCAATTGATTGGCTGATTGATGGAGCGGACGGAGTTCCAGGGAGAGGATGGCACAAAATGCCTGTAGCCATCAGGAAATGATGTCATTACTACCACTGTCAGGACGAACCAGTGACCTCTAAAGTTAGCCCCAGTGGCAGGGAAGGAGGGGGAGATGTTGCCCTTGGATCATAAAAATTTAGAAAGCTAAAAAAAAAAAAAAAAAAGAACCCAGCTTTTAATGTTTTAATGGTGTACCAGATTAGTTCCTCCATGTCGGTTTATGGAAACTCGAGAACAAGAGTGGCGAACATGGCCTGAGTGCTCTAAAAAAAAAAAAAAAAAAAAAAAGGCCTAACATCTTTACAACACTCCAAGAATAGACATTCTCTGAGAGTTGCATGATGTAATCTCTTTTTTAGCTCCTCTCCTCCCACCAACCTACGCTGAAACATATTCCTGGAGGATAAGAAAAAACAAGAGTTTCTAAAGATAAGAGAAGGAAGTTCAAGCAGAAAAACAAGTTAAGATGGAAAATAAAAAGAACAAAAAAGAGGAAGCCAAAATAAAAAAAAAAAATAAAAAAAATCTTACCTTGACACCCCCACCCACATCGTCCAACACAGTGTAGTCAATGGGCTTCCTGATGTACCTGACAGGTCGCTCCATATTGGCCGGTGCTATAATCTTATGGGTCCTCGCCGTGTTCTTGTTCGTGGTCAGGATCCCGATCTCCCTCCTGGCCACCTTCTCTTTGTGGATGTCCACAGTCTGTAAATGACAGTGACAGGCAGATGAGGATGTGTGGGGGTGGGTGGGATTGATCCCACACCGGACACACAATGATGCCCAGACCTCTGGGACCTAATGAACTTGTACTGCAGCAGCTGTAATTGAATCACCGTGCTTGTCCTTTTCATCGCTGTGGTCCTAATCTTTTTACAGCAGATGGAGCAAACCACTAAAAATTGATTGTGGTTAAAACCCAGATCTGATCACTTTAATGACCAGGGAAGGCTCATGTGAATACTTCAGAAATCTGACACCGGTTTGATGTTAATAACTTCACCAGTTCGTCAAATTTGATAAACAGGAGGAAAAATGACAAATACTTGTGAGTGTTAATGTTAGGAACAATAATTTAGGACAAAGCTGATGACTGCATACATAGACAATATACACAATATACAACTGTATTTGATGAACTAAGTTACACTTATGAATTGCCAAAACCACAGATTTTAGATTCTTTTGACCTTTCTATAAGTGTACCAAACTTTTTTGCGAACCATTTGTTCTATTCTATTTATAGTTGTCATGAGCACAGGGGACTCGTTATCAAATGATATTAATTAATATTAATATCCAGCTAGTGTATAAAACCTGGCTGCTCTGTGAATTACTCCATGACCATGATAGATGTTTCCTGTTTTCAGTAGCAGACAAATTGCTTCAACGTTATCTTTGATCATATTCTAAGGTTTCCTAGTTACTGAGTTCCCATGGCTCCTGCACGTATTGATCTCAGCCGTCATAATTAAAAAATGTGCAAAACCATCTCATTTACGTCCCCAGCTCCGCTTTCGTCTCTCCCACTGACCTAAGACAAACCGTGGACCAGCTGCCCTTCCACGAAGAGATAAAAGGCTGCAATGTCTGCGGAGGGCAGAGCAGTCAAACGATGAGTCTCTCACAGGGAGAAAAAAAAAACCCAGCAATCAGCGCCAACAGAGGATTCTTTTTATTTTACAGGCATCTGGGGCCGAGGGCTGACTGAGGGCTAGAATGCCACCGTCTACGGAGACTTGCGGAATCTCTCATACGCGAGACCAAGGACGCCAACATCGTTCAAGCCCCAGCCAATTTTCTTGGGCAAAATTAAATATAATTTAAACTGAGGAATACTAGTCAAAAATAGACTGCTCTTACTGCGTGAGACTGATGCAAAGCACATTCTAACAGTACACAAGAGGTTTGAAAGAGAGCGTGTTGTTCAAGTAAACGAGAGGAATTAATATTTCATAAGAGACAAAGCTGTTCACACACACACTTTAATTACATCCATGGAGAATTCTCTTACAAAAAGCAAACATCAAATTGCTACAAAGGCCTGTTGTTGCTTTTTGAATTAGGAAGGCTGTCACAGGGTTGACTAGCGCCACCTAGTTACCTAAGCTGGGTTGGGAAGATTGCAAAGAGGACAAAACAACCCAGAAAGATGAACAAAACACAAAAACAAATGTGATATTTGAATCTTCCGTGTACAAAATGTCTGCCGAGAAATGGTCTAAGTGCAACTGCCTGGCTGTCACAGTCGAGCTCCCTCCCCATGCGTGACCTCTGGAGACTAGATATGGGGGCCAGAGTTTGGGCAACTTTTGGCTGAATTAGCTTGAGCTAATAAAACCCCCCTCTCAAACCACAGAGCGATCGTTTCTCATCTTACAAACGTTTTTGAATCATGACAAACTGGAAAGCAGATGAGTGCAAACAAATCTTAACCTCAGCCGCTTGCATTTGCAGGGGGAGTGATGGTGGGGTGCAAAAAATGTGTGAACCTGTTGGAAGGAAGACTCAGTGACAGTGTGGTGGGTGAACTCATCTCCTTCCTGCAAGGCTTAAAAAAAAAAAAAATAGAAACAGTGTAGGCCAACTTTAAGACGAGAACTGTCAGATGAGCACATTCAAAACCAACATCTGAAAACTTCCACCCAGTGACCAGTCATATCCTGTCAACAGTGTGTTGCTAATGCACCGAGTGAGGCCAAAAGAACCTCTAATGCCCTCTGAGACGAACACAAGAAGAGTTCTGACTCATCTTTGACTCACATTTCCACATTTTCCTTCTTAATTCCTCATTCTCTTTCTTAAATGTTTTTTTTTTCTCACACTAAAGGTGTTTATTTGATCCTAGTGGTCCATGTGCTTTGAGTAAAATAAAATTGCACTCTGTTCTTTTTGCCAAACTGGAGTGGGGAGGACTCACACAGGTTGGCAGCTGATTTTCTCCCAAAAAACACACAGCACTTTTATCTCGTTAACTACAGAATTAAGCACGTTGATTCATCACCTTTGAGCCACATAAACTATATGTAAAAGCTTTACAATGACTGTTTCTGTTCAGCTGCTGACCTTTGACTACAGAAGACAGACTCTGATATGTATCCGTTCACTGCAGCCACTTCCTTTTTGTCTTATTATCAAGTGTTGGTTAAAGGATCGTATAAAAGAGATCTAATTATTTTTTAACACAAAGACCTTATAGATCGTGTCTATAAAGGTTGTGTTTTCCATAATCTTTTACTTCCTTCCAAGCCAATCCTAATGTGTTTCACATAAACTAAAAAACAAAAACAAAAACAAAATGTGTATGTGTAACTTATTGTCTAGTTTCTTTCACTGAAACACTACAGCTACAGAGTCCGGAGTCAAATTCCGTGTATGTGCTTGGCCAATAAAGCTGATTCTAATTTACTTTCGACAATCTGACGACTCAAGTCATAGGTTCCAATGCTGCCAACATTATCATCATCACTGAGTCATTCGAGCCACAAAAGGAAGAAAAAAAAAAGAACCTTCTTGAGGTCCTACTCAACTTGGGGAGATTTCATCCCAGTTTAGCATGTGGGTGAGTCAGTGCCGTGGTTACTTCCAGTGGAGATTCTTGTTGTGTTAGCAACAAGTGCAAAAATATTTGGGTTTTGTTTATTTCTTTTTTAACCAGATTGTAAGTGCACTTGAAAACTCTCTCAACTCCCATGGCCTGTGGGCCAGACGAACGCTTCCAATGACATCAACACTGACAAATCTTAGGAAGTGAAATGTTGTCTCTTGGCAAACCATCAACACATGCATCTCTGTGGACAGACAGACAGGTGATCACTTTTTTGGAAACAGAAGAGATTATGCTGATTTTCAGCACAACTGTTCTGAACTAGGAGACAGTCTGGTCTTTATTTTCCATCTGTGTCTTTGTTTCCTAGAAACTGCTCATCTCAGTGACTGGTTTACACCTGTTTAAAGAAGCCCACCATCTATCACCACCCACATAACCCTCATATAAATAGATTACCTAAAACAAGAATTGTCTTGTTTGTTGCTTTTCAAACATATCCTTTATTATATCTTATCTTATCTCTTTACTGTAGTTTTTGACCTCATTTCAAAGCCCAGGGTGTTTTGAAAGGTGTGGGTTTTATATGCAATATATAGTACGTATATAAGTATAAGCAACTGCTGCAGGTTCTTGTTGTCTGTCTTAATATGTCAAATGATTATACATTTTATTTATTTATTGTGCGATGTGCTAAATGCGAAGCCAACACAATCGCTTTTGGAATATATTTTTTATTCAGTTTCCTTTTGACAGACAGCGGGAAAGGAACTGGGATTCTTTCCACACTGACCTTCGGTGACCCCGTCTGTGGTCTTTCAGTTTCATGCTGATTTACACTTGCAGACAGACAAGAAAGGACAGTTGGACAATTACGGTATTTTGAAGCCTTGTGAAAATGCAACTGACAACTTCTCACCCACACGGCACACAAAGGCAGACTGTTTTGAAGAGTGAGGTAAGAATGGTACCAAAAAGGAAAAAGATGTGTGCACACTTTGATACGGAGCTCAGACAGCCGGTTTCACTTCAGCACATACTGGAACAAATAGAGAAGAAAACAAAAACGGCCTTTTCAGCACTTTGGCAGGCTGTGGCCACTAAATGATAGCTTCAATAAAATGCCTCCTACTTACCAACAAACACGCTGCACAGCATGTGCCATGGGCACTGAGATCGGGTGCTTATGACATGCGAAAAACTGATTAGTACACAAACACACCCTACATACCATCATGCCTGTGTGTGAGGTGGCTTCCCATAGTGGACCAACGTGACAGAACTCTACTGTAGAAGATTAGAAAACTTTAAAAGGATAGCAGACGTACCCCCGGAATCACACCCATCCTCCTCTGAGATCATACCCACAAACAGCACTTAAGAGGCAACAGGTTTAGTATTTCTGTCAGGGAAAATACTGCATTATGGCAACAAGATGTATAGGGAGTACAATTAAATCATATGAGATCATTAATGACTTCAGCACTTGATTTTGACATGCAATGTTGCAGATTATGTTTCTAAAAAATATTATTATTCTGGCCCTATGTTCTTAGATAAGATCATCCTTCCAGGAGTCCTGGAACATCAACATCTTTCTTGACTAGAGTTACCAAGACCATGATAACTATCAACTTTAACATGACCGTTAAACACAACTAAACCTCAAGTTCATGCCTGACATTGTAAAAGGATTTATCAACTAGTAGAAGCTACCAGCAGGTGACAGCAAGATGAAGACACCGATCTGCGTTCATTCTCGGCAAAGCCCAGTTTCTTTCTCACTCCATTACCCACAATCCCCCTGAGAGCTGATCTAAACAACTTGCAGTCCACAGCGTGCTGGAGCAGTTGCTTCATGACAGAGTACTCCCCAGTAAAGTAGTATGCTTTCCTTCTGCTGTAACAACTTCATGTTCAACCCACCAGCGCGTCTTTTTTCCTACTGCAGATACTTACTTACATTTCCTGAAATAACCGAGTCGGAGCAACTGAGTCTGGCTACTAAACAAGAGACTTTTTAGGATCTGGAAACATAGAGTAGCGAAGATCCACCAGGTCTATCATTAAGGCATTTGTGGCTTTGTTGCATCATAGCAGGGAGTTCGTCCTCTCTGCCTTCGGTCACATCCGGCTCTACTTGTGTGATACAGAACAC